ATTTGTGTCCAGCTGGACTTTCAACCCCTTAACCTTCATGGAACATTCAGCAGGTCCAGACTTCAGCAGGTCCAGACCATTCCTCACTCCTGTATCTCAGTAAATGCGCTTTGTTTTTTCAGGATGTGGCCATCCGTGAAGTTTAAGGGGTTAATTAAAGGTGTCCCTTCAACACTTTGGGGGTTTTGCTGTGCAAGCGTGTGTGTGTTTTATGGGGGTAAAATCAGAAAGGGTAACAATAAAGCGCACGCCTACCTGAAGAGGACCTCGTTTTTGGTCTTGTTTTGGAACCATAACTAGAAGAGGACCCACCTATGAGGCTACTTGGTGGGAAGAGGCCCGGCCCGTAATCGGACACATAAGAAGGGTAAGTGGCGATGGGGTGGTGGGCGGCGGATGCCCCTGCGCCGATGCTGGCCATGCTCCGGCTATGGGCCGGGTCCAGCTTCATGCTCTCGGGCAGCTGGTACTTAATACACTCTTTGTCCTCCGGTCGCACCACGGACGAGCCAGAGCCCGGAGTGGAAATGGACGGGTCTGGGGACACGTCCTTGGGTGGGGTTGGAGGGAAGGTGAAAAGGTGTGGGCTGGAGTGTCCGGCAGACAGCGAGGAAGAGGAAGAGGAGGAAGAAGAGGACACTGGTGGGTAGACAGACAGGGCCCCTGGGGAACCATGGTGGTGTAGTGGGGTTTTTGGGAAGGGCCCCAGGTTCCACGGAGAGGCGCTGTGGTGTGGGCCAATGCCTTTGCTGCCGTCCAGCCAGGGCAGGGAACCGTGCAGCAAGGACGGACGACACACCTGACTACCTGATGATTGACAAAAAGCATGCACACACAGACACACACAAACACACGAACAAGAGCAGAGGACTGTTAGAGAAACAAAGATGTACCAGTATGACTGCACTGTGACACTTTTATAAATATGCTTTTGAAGAACACTGTTTTAGTAAATCCAGGACATCAACACAGCCACCAGTAGCAAATGATTAAACCACTTCAAATGAAAAACAGACATTCAACACAACACTTGATTAGCACATGAAACATGAAGCCATGTCATTAGTGTAACTCCTAAATAAGTAGTATGATGGCAACATTAGTGCATGTTTTAGTAATCATTCAGTAATTAATATTGGCAGAGAGTGCAAGGCAAACTTCTTTGATCATCAAGCATGGTTTACAGTGAGTGATAACATTTGCTGTTGTTTTTCTTTAATTTCTGCAAAAACATAATAAATTCGATTCCAGTCCTAAACCGAAACTGACATCTGCTCCTAATGTTTGGTCCTTGGTGGTTTCTCCTGGGAGATTTAACCAATAAATGATAATGCATTAACGGATGTAGAGCTTCATTCCTGTCTGAGGTGTCAGAAAAGGCCCTCTCAGGTTTTCATGTGGAAAAAAGGGACGATTTGACTGGAAGGGTACATTGTGAAACTGCACGTTGGGCCTACAGTAATTACACCGAGAGACTTCACAATGAAAAGCTAATGCAGGACTCTCACTGTCATTGTCACCACTCTCGATACCCCAAATACCCTAGATTACCCCCCTCCCCCTTGCACCCCCCCCCCTTCACCAGCACAAGTATCTGTTCCATCTCTGAGTAATTTCTGCAAGTATTGAGATGTTCGAGAGCGAGAGCAAAAAAGAGAAAAGCCTCAATAGAGAAACAAGGTCACGCTTTCCCCTCAGGAAGTCATGGGCAATAAATTAAAGCAATAGCTCTTCCGCACTTTAATTCTCTCACCAAGGACCTTTTTTACTATTTCGGTGTCATTTATAATCGCTTATAAGGCCTTTCTATCAGGCTGAGGTCAGATCGCAGAAAGCCGCGCCGTTATTTATGCTGGTGGGGCAACTGCACAATATTGAAATGGGCAAATTAATTACAGCAGCAGGCCTTCGCCATCGCAAACAAACGCGCATATTGTTTATTCACATTATAATACTTCTCATCATTCATAAAATCTATAATAGATAATCTTCCAAATGCGCGCGAGGCACCCTTATTTACTCTTCGTTTAAATTTAATCTGAAACACATTTACTGCACAGATATATACGCACAGGCCTCATATTATAACGCTGTGCATCAGTTCGAGCTACTCTTTGAGAAGAGAGCCCCCAACAAAACAATCAAAAAAAAAATACTAGAAAGATGTGAAACCGATGACACACCACACGCTCAAAGGTAAAAACACGTACAAAAACTACCTTTCTGTCTGTTGAAAAGGAAAAAAAGTTGCATTTTTGGTATGACTGAGTCTTGAGCTGCTTTCCAAGAAAACACACTTCTTTTAATACAATTATTTGTAAAAGCTAATACCAAGAACAGGCCGCTTTACTGCGTTCTGGTTGGCTTTAATCTTATAAATGTGAAATTATTACATTTATAATTTGAGTGAGTGGAGTTTTAGACGTGATGTACAGTGCAGGGAATCCACACGCGTGTTTCTAATAAGACTGACTGCAACATCTATATAAAAAAAATATTTAATTATATTTAATTAATAATAAAAGAAAGCGCGTTTTGTTGGAGAACATCTGTGTAAAATGTGTCAAATTGAATTACACGTGTTTTGCTGGAGACAGAAAGATCAGGCTATCCCACCTATGACTGGCTTTAGTTAAAAAATGAGTGTAAAATTATATTTACATTGGTAAAAATTGACTTAAATCACGTCTGTAAAATGCTGTGCTGGCTCCCTTTTAGTTCTCGCTCTGAAAGGTCAGTGTTTGCCGTTTGAGAAACGGGACTGATTGATTGAGACCGAGCCTAAAATACAAGCAAAATGAGCTTCAAGTAAAGTGTGTTTGTTGTAAAGTGTTCGTGCTGTTTGTTAGAGAGTTACAATAATATTATAAAGTTAGTGTAAAAGGGAGCTGAGGCGCGTTTTGTATGACACACCTAAATAGGCGTTTAAGTGCAAATTAAAATATATTTTCTGTTAGATCTGTAAATGCATCCAGCGCTTAGTGTCTGAGCGGAGGGAATTTCGTACTGTGCATTTGCAAAGTAGGAAAGTAAGCGAGGTTTCAATCCCAAATGTTTTTGAGGAAACTGTGTTCAGTGTTGTTTTTGAGGAAAATTACTATGAAGTGCGTCGTTTTTAAAGTGTATTGGAGTTGAATGACGGTAAAAATGAATGTAGAGGTGAGCAGTAAGTCAAAAAGAGAATGTAAATGTTGTGAAATAAATGCTCGCGCTGTGAGTAAAGAGGGCCAGCTGTCTTTGTTGTAGTTCGAGTGTAAAATGAAGGTAAAGCAGTGTAAGTGTGTGTGCGAGAGAGTGTGAACGCGGTGCTGGAGGACACTTACTGTGCGGAGGTGGGTACCTCTGTACGGCCCGGTTCCCGTAGTACGGGTGGTTGCCCTGCCCGTCGATATTAAACAATACATCCATGTCATCTGGGAGCGGGTACTGCGCGGGGTCCATGTAGGAGTGTCCCAGTCCGGGGTGATGCGAATCAGGGTGCTGCCCGTTGATCACCGGGTGGTGGTGGCTCATCCAGCGAGGCTGCTCCGCACCCACGTCCATCTCTCTGTCTTTCTTTTGCTCTCTCGCTCAAACGTTCATACACTCGGGCTCGAGCAGCAGCACGCGCTAAAAGTCTGAGCGGTCACAGCGTCGGTCTCAGCGGTAATAATCAGCCGTCCGGGTCGCTTCCTCGCGCTGATTAATCCACACGTTTCTTCAAATCTCGCATCGCTTCCGATCACCTGCAAACGGGAGAAAACAGTTTGTGTTGTTTTTTCTCTCTCTTTCTTTTCAGCTTCTGCGTTCCGTCCGTTTCTGTTGCTCAGTTGCCGTCTTTCTTTTATTTCTCATTGGCGGAACAAAAACAAAATCGCCAACTTTCTTCGAGGTAAATAATAAATAGAGCGCCGCTTCTAAACGTCACATGCGTGCGTGCAAAAGAGAAAGAAACAAAAATATGAACATATAGATATGAGGAAAAATTATTAAAAGAAGATAAGTCCCAAGTCGTGCGTGTTTCTTTGCCTTGTGTTTTTGTTGTTGTTGTTGTTTGTTTTCTTTTTTCTCTCTCTCTCGTGAAGCTCAACAAGTCCCGAGCCTCTTTAGGAGCTGCTGGCGTTCAGCGCAACTTTTAACTCTGAAATCTACGTTTATGCTCGGAGCTCAACCCCCAACTCTTCTCTCCCTCCCTCCCTCTCTTTCTCCCTCCCTCTCTCTATCTCGCTCACTCACTCGCTCTAGCTCGCTCGCTCTGTTTTACAGTGAAGGCATTCTTTCAGGATGGCGCCAGGCAGCTCAATGCTCGCAGACAGCTGTGGCGCGACGCAACTTAAGGAGGGTCTTACACACACACTCTCTCTCCCTCTCTCTCTCTCTCTCTCTCTCTCTCTCTCTCTCTCTCTCTCTCTGTGTCATCAGAAAGGGGAGGGACCACGCCGTCCGTCCTAATTGAATAAAGTGGGCCTAGGAAAAATGACCAGGAGAACGAGGAGGTCTTCCTCCTGTCTCCCATTCACACACACACACACACACACACACATTATATACATATATATATATATATATATATATATATATATATATATATATATACGTGTGTGTGTGTGTGTGTGTGTGTGTATTTGTATATATATATATATATATATATATATATATATATATATAGAGAGAGAGAGAGAGAGAGAGAGAGAGAGAGAGATAGATAGATAGATAGAAATTCAAATTCAGTATATACATACAAAGAGAGACCGATCATATGTTTATAGCACGGCATTGGATGCTGACATCATTTCACGTAGAGGCCCTTCACTTTCATCTGAATATTAAATATGAAAAACCTACAGTACAGCAGAAGCCTGATGGTATATTTATACATTAAACCCTGCAGCTTCAAGCCTGCTCATCACTCTGGATCTTTATTATAGTGGTCTTTAATTTTCGTCTGTTTCAGTTTGTTTACAGATCTTCTAGTTCTGTTCTGTTTGATTTTATCCACTCAGTGACTGTATGGCTGCTGAATTGGACTGTGTGGATTAGAAAAGCTCTAACATTAACATTAACAGCAGGCCTGAGGACTCGGTGCACTGAGGGATCGAGGCTCGTGTGACCTGTTGCCTCTGTGTGTGTGTGTGTGTGTGTGTGTGTGTGAGAGTGTAACAGCAGCAGCTCTCTTTAAATTGTGACAGTGCGTCCTCTCGCGGTGACACGCGCGCGCGTTTATTTATTTATTTTTTTCGAACGTGTTCTTTTTTCCACAGCGGACCTTCGTGTTCTCGTCTTTTGCTGCAGCGCGCTCCCGCTTCCTCTCTCGCGCGCCCTCACCCACCTCTTCCTTGGCCTCTTCTTCCTCATCTTCATCTTTCAGTATCGTTCTAATCAGCTCGCTAAGGCTGCCCGAGTGCACCGCGGTGCGCACGAGACGTGAATAAGAAGACGATGGTGATGATGATGGTTAAGTAGAAACAAAAAGAAGGAGAACAGAAATGAGAAAAAGGGGATGAAGATGAAGATGCGATGATGGTGCTAAACAAGACGACAAAGAAAAAGAAAAAGAAAAAAGGAAAATAGGAAGAAGACGAAAAAGAAGAAGATGATGTTGAAGAATAAAAGAATGATGATTACGATGATGAAGATGAAGATAATGAATAATGATGTAAAAGAAGGAAACAAATGATGATGATGGAGAAGATGATAAGGGATGAAGAATAAAAAGAAGATCAAGATGATGAAGATGAACAAGAAGAAAAAGAAGAAGAAAATGAAGAATAAAAGGAGAAGAAGATGAGGATGGTCATGAAGATATTTATGAGCCTACCCCTTTTTAAGAACATAAGAATGATATTATTATTATTATCATTATCATTATTATTATTATTATTATTATTATTATTATTATTATTATTATTCGCGCGCTCCTCAGCTTTATTTCTCTGTGCTGGCCGGTTTTGGAGGGGTGGGGGTCAGATAGGTCGGGGGGGGGGTGGTTGGGCAAGTCGGTGTATTTGGTGTCTTAATGCCCCGGTTTGGCTGCAGAGTCCGCGCAGATTGATACAATGCAATAGAGTAACACACACACACACACACACACACACACGCTGGCCGTGACGTCATCGCTCAGTAAACAGGCAGGAAATGAGTTTTGGGTGAAGCGAGAGGAAGGAGGAGTGTAGCGCGAGACGCTTTCGCTTCACAGTTTTACCTTCATTCTCGTCATTATTTAGTTTTACATTTACTTACTCATTTATTATCATTATTATTATCATTATAGGACAGAAACACACAAATAGACAGTCGAATAAAAACCGCGAGCGGCGCGCCCCGTGTGTACGTGACTGAGAGAAGTGTGTGTGTGTGTGTCCCTACAAATGATTGACACGTGTGCTTCCATACTTCTGCACATAAAACGTATGTTTGGATGAGAAAACAGAAAACGCTGATTTAGTGGAAGGTTTAACACAGAGACACACACAGACACACAGTTACACACACAGACACGCACACACACACACACACACACACACACACACACACACTCACACATTTGAACCTGGACGGAAATGTGTTGCATCATATCTGTATGTTCCGCGCGAGGAGGTGAGAAAATATAGAGCAGTGTAAATGTGTAAAATATAAAACACAGAATTTTTCCACTCATTGAAATAAATTAGAATTAATAATCAATAATTTACTAGCGGAACATTAGGGCCATTCAGTGTGCGCGCGCACATGTGTGTGTGTGTGTGTGAGAGAGAGAGAGAGAGAGAGAGAGAGAGAGAGAGAGAGAGAAAGAGAGAGTGTGTAAGATGGGGTAAGATAATATGAGTTATTATGGTATGAGGCAGCTCAGATTAAAATCACACTGCTGCACTGCGACTGTGTGATGATGAGGACGCTGATAAACTCAGCATTATGATCATCAGCGCTCTTTAAAACCTGCCGCCATTATCACACACTGTACAACAGCTTCTCTAACATCAGCCCTGCTGGGACACATAATAACACATTTATAATAATAATAATTATTATTATTATGCTTATTAACATGCTTATTATTATTATTATTATTATTATTGCTAATTGCTAATGCTGTTTGTGTGTAGATTGTTGCTATTATATTTATTCTTTAATACACATATATGTATTTTATTTAAACTACAACATCGTCATTTCCACTGGTATAAAATATGTTATTTTAAGATGCGTTAATTGTCACTCGATCACTGAAACTCAGCTGTAAATCTCTAGCATTTTTGCCGCGCTCCTGCCAAAGATACCTTTACATTACTAACAACAACAATAATAATAATAATAAATAATAATAATAATAATGAGAGGAAGAATTACAATAATAATTATTATTATTATCGACTACATAAATATAGATAGATAGATAGATAGATAGATAGATAGCCGTTGTATCAGTGACAGACAGCCCGTCGGTGCTGACCCGTATCCAGGGCCTATAATAATAAACCTATGTAATAATATAAATAATAAGTGCCGCGCTCCGCTCAGGAGCTACAACAGGATGAGACGGAGCTCCGCAGCTTCTGCTCTACATCATATTACACTTTATCAGGCCCAGAAACGGAGCGGAAACCCTGTCAGTGTTCAGGATTCAGGATTCTCTCACACTCACCCTCAGCTCACCCTCACCGAAACGAGCTTCTGTTAACAACGAAACGATCTCAACGATTTGGCTGATAACAGATTTTTTTTGTGATTAATTATTTCTGCTTTCTCCCAAACCACCACTGTTACACGATAAAAAAATAGCTGCTGCATTTACAACAACAGCAATAATAATAATAACACGATAAATTTGTAATAAAAAAATAATAATTACAATTATAATAATATTATTAATAATAATAATAATGTCTGCTAAAGAACAGGCTGCTCAGCTCAGTCATCCTCTCTAGCTGAGCCGTTAGAAAAAGTGCCCCTTATGATTAATCTGTCTTGGTACTTTTGAAGTCTTTTCAAGAACGAAGTTTCTTTTTGAATGCCGCACGATATTCGGGCTACTTTAGATTCTCAGAATCAAAGGTGTAAAATTCAGAAAGATGCGTCAGACTGAGAAAACATGTGTTTCTAAGAACGACATTGACACTAAAACGGCGAATTTGAGAGGGGAACTGCGCGAGCCTAGAGAGCAGGTTTGGTTTTTGGTAAATCAGGAAGAAAGGGAAAAACACATGAAGAGCATAGAACACACACACGCCCGTGAGAGAGGTATACCGTCGGCTTTGAGGTAGGCGCTAAATGCCTTTGAGATAGGGGCTACAGTGCTCCTACGGTAGACTACTGCCTCAAAGGCTGAGGTTAAATGCCTCTGAGGTCTCTAAAGTAGGGGCTAAACACCCTTAAAATGGGGGCTAAATGTCTCTAAGGTCGGCTAATGCCTCTACAGCAAGGACTAAACGTTTTTGAGGCAGTCTAGATGGCTTTAAAGAAGGGTCTAAATGACTCTGAGTTGAGGCAGACAGAGGCCACCAAATGCCTCATAGGATGGCTAATTGCATTTAAGGCAAGGTCTTAAAATGCCGCATAGTTAGGGGCCAAGTGTTTATGAAGCAGATTAACGCATATGCTAAATGAATCTGAAGTAAGAAGCTTCTGCGAACGACTAAAAATACATTTGAAAATGGGCTAAATGCAGATGAGGCAGGCTAACTGCCTCTATGGAAGGCTGTAATAGTCTAAGTTTGGGGCTAAATCCCTTTAAGGACGGCTAACCATTTCTGCAGTAGGGCCAAATGCCTGCGAGGCAGGCTAACTGCCTCTAAGGTAAGGGCTTAATGCCTCTAAGGTAAGGACTTATCGCCTGTAAGGTAAGAGCTAACTGCCTCTAAGGTAAAGGCTAACTGCCTCTTAAGTAAGGGCTAAATGAATTCTGAAAATAATTATAATTATACCAAAATAATAAAAACATATAATACACACTGGCAGGCCGTTACTTCATCAGGGCCAAAGAAAAAATTATAACGCAGCAAAATTCTGCCTCAAAGACAAATTGCGTGTATTACTGGTTTGTGTTATTTTCTCTCGACGCTGTTTCTGGAGGTTTTTAGCGCTATTTAGTGTATGAGCAGTAAAGCTGAGAGCACTGGGCCTGCGGTTTGATCTCCAAAGGAGATTGGAGGCCATGGGGCTCATTTCTTGGCCTGTGTATAAAAATAACAGC